CGTATCGATCTGCATCAGATCGATACACTACTCGTAACGGTTTACTGTACTATACAGCCGTTTCTGGTGACACACCACGTGTTGTCATTCCAGATGATACTGATCTGCGTTTGCGGATCATGTTAGAGTATCACGATGCTCCTATAGGAGGACATCGTGGCCGAGAGAAAACATATCTCACGGTAAGTCGAGACTTTTACTGGCCCCGCCAGTATCAGTTTGTGCGAAAGTATGTTCGCGCATGCGAAGTCTGCCAACGAGTGAAGTCAAGTCCTTCACTGCGTGCACCTTTACAGCCTCTACCGGTTCCGGATGAGTGCTGGGAATCCATCTCGATGGATTTCGTCTTCGGGTTACCCAAAGACGCACGCGGGAATACGGGTATTCTCGTATTTGTTGACAGATTCAGCAAAATGGTACACCTTGTGGCTGTACCAGAGTCAATCACGGCAAGTGGCTGTGCTTGTGTCTTTATTGACACCATCTTCCGACTTCATGGGTTGCCCCGTGAACTCGTATCAGACAGAGATCCACGCTCCACTGCTGATTCCTGGCGTTCCGTGTTCAAATCACTCGGAACGCGCTTGAAGATGTCAACATCTGATCATCCAGAATCAGATGGTCAGACGGAACGTGCCAATCGTGTCCTTGAAGAGATACTTCGAGGATACGTACACTCCTTTAAAAGTTGGAGTGAGTTTTTGCCAATGGTAGAGTTTGCCATCAACAACTCGGTGCATGCGTCCACGACACATACACCGTTTTACGTGAATGGCTTACGCCATCCGCGTGTACCCACCTTACTAGAGTGTAACTCTGGTTTAAGGGGGGGAGGGACTCGCGCGAGCAAAAAACCGATTTGGTTCACGCTCATCACGCTCTGACGAAGAAGTCATTGCGTTCGATGCCTATATCGATAACATCGATATCGAAGAAGATGATACCAGTGAGAGTGCGGAAGCCCTCACTGAATACAACGATCCCAGCGAGAGTGCGGAAGCCCTCACTGAAGAAAAGGTTGGTGTTACTGCAGTGCGCTCACAGCACACTGAAGCTAACGAGTCATCAGATGAGTTCATACTGGCTCGTGAAACGGTAGTCCGTTTTGTGCAAGACTCCATCGCCGAAGCGGTGGATAAGCAAAAGCAAAACGCTGACAAGAATGGAAGGGCAAACACTCTTTTATTTAATAAAGGTGACTTAGTCCTACTGTCTACGGTTAATCTACCAAAGCATGTAGTGACTAACTTGGGTAGCAGTAAACTACTACCCAAGTACATTGGCCCATTTCGTGTATTGCACCGCCTAGGCAATGCATACACGATCGAGTTACCACGTAAGATGCGAACGCATCCCACGTTTTACGTTGGTCGGCTTAAGCCGTACCATCAGTACGCTGCTTCTTCCGATGAAGAACGCCCTTGCGCTCAAGCATCTCGCAGAGAGCCTTGTGCTCCCGATGGTGGGCATCAACAAGGGTCTGAAGAGCAGTTATCTCAGCCCGAGACCGATCAACAATCCCACGAGCTACCCTTAGATCGTCACGAAGAGATGTCAGAGATCTCTCGTTCTCAAGCTGAGCAAAGGCAAACTCAGCTCGATGCTTCGAGGCAGTGTCCGCCATTTGGAGACGCCTGTCCCGCTCATGTTCGAGATCGTCGCGTAACCCTTGCGTTACGCGATCAAAGAAGCTCTCGGGAACACACGGATCCACATGATCGTGTGGAGAGCTTCTTTCCTCCTCCTCCACCTCCATTAGAGGACTCTCGCGGTGGCCAGCGCTATCTAGTTGAGCAGCTGTTGAACCACCGCGACGTGAACGGACGTCGGACGAGTTATCTCGTCCGGTGGCGCGGCTATCCTCCGTCCTGGGATTCTTGGGAGCCCCGCTCCCAACTGATGATCGACGTACTGGGTCTGGTTGAGCAGTACGACGCGGCACATCCTGTGCCGCAGAAGGACCGCCGGAGAAATTCTCTCCGGCACGGTCGTAAAGGGATTTCAGGTTGTCAATCCCTTCGTACATCTCAGTAGAGACACGTACGCGCCACCACGGGCTATTAGGGAGGTAAGCCTCCTTAGGTGCTCGTGCAGAGTTGTTCACACAACATGGGCACGGGTCTCCTCAAGAGAGGCAGGGTAATCCTTTCTCCCTTGACAGACGATGCAGCTTGTAGCGTGCACCTGTCGGGGTTCGCTTTTCAAACTTATCACGAGCTTTGATAAGTTTGTCGTTCCAAGCGTCACGACCTACATCCTCGAGGTTATGGATGTAGGCGTTCCACGCCTGAATTATTGAGGGACCATCACGTTTGTGATTCCCACTGTACCATCGATGTCTGAAGAAAGCATCGATGAAGAACTCATGTTCAGCGCGATAGTCTTTCGCGCTGGGGTCAAGGTGATGGATCCTTGACGAATCGAACAATCGTGTTCGATAACGATCACTCGTCGTCGCCGACAAGTGATCCATGACTGACTTTGGAGGCATCCATGTCTTCTTTTCTGGAGCGAGACGCAACACACTGCGGTCCCGCTCTTCCTGCGACGTGCCGACAGAAGTACTGGCACCTCGCTGCGAAGTGGTGTCCATTGGAGAACCGACACCACTATTAGCGCCCGAGTCTCGCGACCTCGAGCGCCTTCGCTTCGGCGATGGTTCATCTGATTCGTCAGATGAACCAAAGATGCTGCGACGCAAAGCATCATCCATGCCACGCTTGGCAGGCGGCTTGGATTCAATTGCCGTCGATACGGATCCGTCATCCGTATCAGGAGAGTACGAGACACCGAGCTCGTACTCTGTGAAGACACGAGTGTCTTCATGACCAGCGCCTGCATCACCAGGTGATACAGGCTGAGTCGATTCAGCAACCGATGGGACATCAGTTGCTGTAGTTTCTGCTTCGGCGTCCGCACAGAGACGTGCAGACGCGCTCTCGGCGGCCTTGCTCGCGCATCGCATGGGCTTGTTAACCATGCGATGAGATGTTGGAAAGTGGACACGGACCAACAAGTGCAAACCCTGTCCCAAATGATTTGGGACGAGTATCCATTTAGTCAATCAGTCACTAAAGTGACTGATGGTTAAGGGGTGGGGTGATGTGACGGGGTGAATCGTTACATAACAATTTATATGAAATTGTTGATAGAGTATAACTATAAGAGTTATATTCTCAGAATATTGTCATAAGGACAAATATTCTGTAGCACGTAAGAATAGTTCCTAATTGGTTGATATAGGCCACTATATCAACCAACGAAGACGCGCCACGACAGACGCACGCAATGAGTGGTGAGCAGATAACTGATTTACACATTTGTATTTAGACATAGTTAGATGAAGATAAATAGTGATTTATTGCAGACATTAACTATTATAAATACAGTTCTACTTTTTACTCTAACCAAGTACTCGCTTCTTCTTACCGTCTTCCTCTGCACGTACGAGTGTACGTGAAGTTACGAGGCACCGCCTTATTCTGTTATCAGAATAAGTAGCTTGTACTGTCACCAGTACAAGCTTCAGGGTGCCCCGTTACACGAAACCTTTGGTCAACTTTAACAAGTAGACCCAAGGTTTTACAAATTTAAAGTTCGTCCTAAATGTTTTATTTTGTTCCATCAAAACCGATCCTTCAAATGCTATTTCGATGTAATAATTTGCATTCGAATAGTCGTTGCCTCTGCCAAGTGTTGTTCGACAGGCGGTGTTCAAAGCCGCATCAAATTTCTTTTTGGACTTTCGCCATCATGGAATAATTACAGTTTCACCCAAAGCTACGGAATTTTGGCGATACGCGCTTAAATAATCATGGTAATTGATTACGAAATAAATGAGCCATTTTTGGCATTACAAATTGTGCTAGAAAAATTGACGATTCCTATCCCAAACGCATACCTCGGTAGTGATCAATGCTAAAAGATTTACTGTTACCGACTAGCCGCGCGGCACCAACACAACATCGAGTGTACATCGTACGGCCGCGCGACTCATATGTTAAAATGAGCATCAAAAGTTGCAATTTGCACGCAGTTTAACGCGGGAACCGTGGGCAAAGTATTACACTTTAATAATTAGGACTGCGCAATCAAAGACTTAGCTATCACATACCGATTGTTCTGTCTGGGAATATGCGAAGCGAATATTGACGTTGCTAAATGTAACTACGCAACCTTTTCTGGGTGCCACGAAGCTTCACGTACACTAGAACGTGCAGAGGAAGCTCGCATCTGCCTCTCAGCATCTTCCGCCGCACATTGTATGGAGTTGTTTACCTTTCATGGAATCCTTATTTGAATGGATCAGACCAGTACATGCCCTCTTTGTACCTGATGTGGCCTTACATTGACCACATTTACATAAAAGTTGAGTGACTGTTGTAACGGGGTGAATCGTTACATAACAATTTATACGAAATTGTTGATAGAATATAACTATAAGAGTTACATTCTCAGAATATTGTCATAAGGACAAATATTCTGTAGCACGTAAGAATAGTTCCTAATTGGTTGATTTAGGCCAGTATATCAACCAACGAAGACGCGCCACGACAGACGCACGCCATGAGTGGTGAGCAGATAGTTGATATGCACATTTGTATTCAGACATAGTTAGATGAGGATAAATAGTGATTGATTAACAGACATTAACTATTATAAATACAGTTCTACTTTTTACTTTAATCAAGTACTCGCTTCTTCTTACCGTCTTCCTCTGCACGTACCAGTGTACGTGAAGTTACGAGGCACCGCCTTATTCTGTCATCAGAATAAGTAGCTTGTACTGTCACCAGTACAAGCTTCAGGGTGCCCCATCACACCTGGTAGCACTTCGTAGTCCGTCCAAGGACCAAGTTCACACCTAACATGAATATGTTAGATGATGAAGATGACCAAAGCTTTCACGCTACCGTAAAGGCTACTCCCATTTGAGAGATGTCGAATGGGATGCGGTTGAACGGATGGGTTCAACCGTAGGCATCCACGCTGTTAGCGTCATGCTAGAGGCTCTCAATAGAGATGCCCAACATGCTACTATCGCCAAAATCATTCAAAATGAACTTGACGCTGAACGCGAGAAAGTAGCCTTGCTTCACCAACAAGGTTCTCAACAAGCAGAGTTGTTGAGAGAACAAGGTGCTCAACAGTTTGAACTGTTGAGACAGCAGCAGGCTGCTGCTGGCGGGTCGATGCACTCGCGTCGACCCGAGACTTTGAAGATTGACATCTCCAAGTATAGGGGGGTCGAAGAAGACTCCCTCTTGAGATGGTTCGTCGAATTAGACGACGCCATAAGGGCGCGTCGCATCGACGACGGGGATTTGTAAGCTGCATTTGCCCAGTCAAATCTGGCAGGACGTGCCAAGACTTGGGCACTGGGGCTCAAGTTGCACGACCAATATGCGTTTGGGTCGTTGGAAGTCTTCAAGTCGCGGCTCAGACAAACGTTTGAACCGCCTAGAGCTGAGTTCAGAGCTCGAACCGAACTCTTGAAGCTCAAGCAGGGTAAGCGTGATGTGCACGCTTACGCTCAACATATACGACATCTCACGAGTTGTATAAGTTCCAATCCGGTGGATGAACACACGTTGGTTTCGGTGTTCATGCAGGGTCTTGCGGATGGTCCCGTCAAGACTCACCTGTTCCGGCTTGAACTAGATTCACTAGAACAAGCCATTTCATTGCGGAACAGGAAGACTTCAGTCTGAGACAGGCTCGCGCCAGCTCGACATCATATCGTACACAGAGACGATATGACAGTGGAGGTCCAGAGCCGATGGAACTCTGTTATGCAGAGAGCGAGAAGGCTCGTTCTACCGACTACAAGAGGTTGCAGAAATGCAATAGATGTCAAAAGACAGGACACTACGCTTACGAGTGTAGTGCCCCTCGTCCAGTGTCTCGCGACACTGGGCGTAGTGACCGTCCACGCATGATTTAGGGGCAGGGACGAGGGTCCGCTGTTGGTGCAAAGACGCAACAACGGGATGGACCGTAAAAAAACGGACAGGATCAGTAGGTGCGGAGCACCCTACTGGTCCAGCAACGTCAAGAAATTTTGTAGGCCTCTTGATGAAGGTTGCTCTCAATACACAAACGTTGTGCGTTGCTGCTCTAGGTAATGAAGTCTCACTCATTACCTTGAAACTCGAAGTGACAAATAAGTTGTCCCTTCGAGCTCTAGTCGATTGTGGGGCGTCCAACAATTTTGTGCGACGCCAATCGCTAGAAGATGGTCACTTTAAATTCAGTGAATGTGACACACCTCCTACGAGGATGACGGTACGTCTTGCGACAGGCGCATCCGTAACCGTCATGAAGCGTATAGTGAAGATCCACTATACGCTTGAAGATACCCAATATGACGATGACTTCATCGCATTGGATTTGGATGACAAATTTGATGTCATCCTTGGAATACCGTGGCTCAGAAGGTACGAACCACGAGTAAACTGGCAACATCGAACAGTAACGATGCCTGCCGCTTGTTCATCAGATGGCCATCTGATGAACGTTTTGGAGCGTCCACAAGCGTGTGGATGTACTACGAGTGAGTGCGATGGCCTCACTTGTGGTACGGTCGTTAGTACGACTGCACAAAACCTTAGTATACCAAACGGTTACACTTCGTAGCAAAGTTCCAGCGGCTGTGAGGAAACACAGGCTGCGCCGAAGGTCCACCATTCGAATAAGTCGAGTGGAGCGGGACAAAGATGTATCCCTAGCGGGGAACATCAAGAAGATAAACGATCGATCGCTCAGGTTAAGCGAAACGATAATCCTAGATCGACTGGAGAGTCTTTCGTAGAGGATCTCGCTGTGGTTGCGCAACCCCAGCTAGAGGAAGTAAAGGGAATAAGTCCCGATATTACAAATACGGTATACATAAGTTCCCCGAAATCCGAGGGAATAAGTCCCCGGGAAGACGAAGGAATAAGTCCTTCGAAGCCTGAGGGAATAAGTCCCCAGGAAATGACAGAGACATTGAATGTCATATTCAATAACGGATCAAGCGTAGGCGCTTATACACTTGATCTGATTGCGCCTACGAAGTTAACTTCGGAGATCACTCAGTTGCCAACGCTCGAACATAAAAGGTTCTTGCGTGATCTGCGTAGTGGCAAAGTCAAGCAGATCTGCGTACTCGTCGCTGACGACGAGTGTGTAACCGACATCAGGTCAGCAACAGTGTTCACTGAGAACGAGAGAGTTCTCAGTAGTTCATCTATGGACGAGAGTGTCCTAGATGAAAAGACACGAATTGAGCGATATGATTCCCAATCGTGGGAATCGCTCAAGAAAAATCCTCTCTATGAAGATTTGGTTGAATTCAAGGATGTATTCCCTGAAACTGTTCCGTGCGAATCACCGAAGGATAAGGGTATTCGACACGAAGTCGAGCTTAAACCAGGCTCGAAGTACTGTGTCATGAAGCAGTGTCCATTGCCTCGTGAACAAGTACTTGCGATCGACAAGTTCTTTGCCGATCGTTTAGCAGCGGGCCATGTGAGGGAATCAACTTCCCCACATAGCTCTCCGACCTTCTGTGTGCGAAAAGCAACAGGAGGGTGGCGGATAGTGCACGCGTTCAACAAATTGAACGCTGCAACGGTACCGGCTCAGACGCCGATACCGAGGAAGGACGTAATCATTGATGTTATGTCAAAGAGTACCATCTTTTCGTCCATGGATTTGATGGATGGCTTCTATCAAATCCTTATGCGGGAACGGGATATACCCTATACCGCAGTTAGCACGCCTAGCGGCATGCTCTGGGAATGGCTAGTAATGCCACAAGGGCTCAGTAATGCCCCTGCCACGTTCAACAGATGTGATACACATCTGTTGAGACCAGTACGAGAATTCGCGCCGAGTTATTTCGATGACGTATTCATCCATAGTCGGGCTATGGATGGAAAGTCGGATGTTGAGGTTCACAGGTACCACGTCCGACAAGTTCTTACAATCATGCGAAAGCATCGATTGTATGCTAACCTCAAGAAGTGTATATTTGCAGCAAGCGAAATACCACTTCTTGGGTGCATCGTTGGTAAGAACGGTGTACGTCCTGATCCCAAAAAGATCAAGGCGATCACCGACTGGCCTGTGCCGGTCGATGTCAAAGGTCCTCGAAAATTCCTTGGGCTAGCGGCGTATTTGCATAAGTATTCACGCAATTACGCCGAGATGACTGTGCACCTCTCTCGTTTGTTGAAAAAGAACGAGAGGTGGTTATGGAACGCTGAATGTCAGCGCTCCTTTGATGGTATCAAGCAGAGCTTGATACAATCCTCAGTCCTAGCAATAGCCGATCAAGACAGGCCATTTCATGTGGTCTGTGATGCCAGCGATTTCGCAATCGGCTGTGCATAAATGCAGTACGATCTTGAAGGCGTTGAACGCGTCGTCTGCTATCAGTCGCGTCAGCTGCAACCAGCTGAGCGGAACTATCCAGTGCATGACAAGGAACGCCTTGCCATGAAGTGTGCACTTGCGAAGTTCAGAGTCTATGTATTAGGAGATAGACCCTTCGTTGTTTACACTGACCATGCGTCATTGCGCACTGCTGTAAACAGCCCGCACCTTTCACAACAAATGGCGCGGTGGTTGTCATTCTTCGCGGAATACAACTTTACGGTAGAGTACAAACCAGGACGACTTAATGTCGTTGCTGATGCACTCTCACGTCGTCCCGACTTTGAACCAGTCGTGAAACCCAACAGTGAGACAGTCACTGTTGCGGTTATGACGTCCTCAGTCCCATCTACAACGTTGTATGATGATGTGAGGCGGGCATACGCCCAAGATGGTGAGATTGTGAAGTTGTTGTCACATCTCTCCCAACCATCTCGAGAATCGTTGAAACTATTATCGTCTGCGTATCGATCTGCATCAGATCGATACACTACTCGCAACGGTTTACTGTATTATACAGCCAATTCTGGTGACACACCACGTGTTGTCATTCCAGATGATACTGATCTGCGTTTGCGGATCATGTTAGAGTATCACGATGATCCTATAGGAGGCCATCGTGGCCGGGAGAAAACATATCTCACGGTAAGTCGAGACTTTTACTGGCCCCGCCAGTATCAGTTTGTGCGAAAGTATGTTCGCGCATGCGAAATCTGTCAACGAGTAAAGTCAAGTCCTTCACTGCGTGCACCTTTACAGCCTCTACCGGTTCCGGCTGAGTGCTGGGAATCCATCTCGATGGATTTTGTCTTCGGGTTACCCAAAGACGCACGCGGGAATACGGGTATTCACGTATTTGTTGACAGATTCAGTAAAATGGTACACCTAGTGGCTGTAACAGAGTCAATCACGGCAAGTGGCTGTGCTTGTGTCTTTATTGACACCATCTTCCGACTTCATGGGTTGCCCCGTGAACTCGTATCAGACAGAGATCCACGCTCCACTGCTGATTCCTGGCGTTCCGTGTTCAAATCACTCGGAACGCGCTTGAAGATGTCAACATCTGATCATCCAGAATCAGATGGTCAGACGGAACGTGCCAATCGTGTCCTTGAAGAGATCCTTCGAGGATACGTACACTCCTTTAAAAGTTGGAGTGAGTTTTTGCCAATGGTAGAGTTTGCCGTTAACAACTCGGTGCATGCGTCCACGACACATACACCGTTTTACGTGAATGGCTTACGCCATCCGCGTGTACCCACCTTACTAGAGTGTAACTCTGGTTTAAGGGGGGGAGGGACTCGCGCGAGCAAAAACCAAATTGGTTCACGCTCATCACGCTCTGACGAAGAAGTCATTGCGTTTGATGCCGATATCGATAACATCGATATCGAAGAAGATGATGCCAGTGAGAGTGCGGAAGCCCTCACTGAAGAAAAGGTTGGTGTTACTGCAGTGCGCTCACAGCGCACTGAAGCTAACGAGTCATCAGATGAGTTCATACTGGCTCGTGAAACGGTAGTCCGTTTTGTGCAAGATTCCATCGCCGAAGCGGTGGATAAGCAAAAGCAAAACGCTGACAAGAATGGAAGGGCAAACACTCTTTTATTTAATAAAGGTGACTTAGTCCTACTGTCTACGGTTAATCTACCAAAGCATGTAGTGACTAACTTGGGTAGCAGTAAACTACTACCCAAGTACATCGGCCCATTTCGTGTATTGCACCGCCTAGGCAATGCATACACGATCGAGTTACCACGTAAGATGCGAACGCATCCCACGTTTTACGTTGGTCGGCTTAAGCCGTACCATCAGTACGCTGCTTCTTCCGATGAAGAACTCCCTTGCGCTCAAGCATCTCACAGAGAGCCTTGTGCTCCCGATGGTGGGCATCGACAAGGGTCTGAAGAGC